TTTGGCTTCGAGAAAGTGAACGCTATCTTACTAACTTCCGGACACGGAAAAGGACGCTTACATTCACTGCCCGACCATTTCGACTACTGCTGATTCCCTAACTGTTGGTTCCTTCCTCACTGACTGCTGCTTTTCTCATTGACTGACTTATATGGATACTGGCTGGAGGACCCATCACCAGTATCCGTCCACTTGTGTTCCGGAAAAGGAGACCACCTATTCAGCTTTTGGGTGGTCAGTTTTTCAAAGGACTTCACTTTTATAATTATCTAAAATCACTAACAAAATCTTATGCTTGCCAATTCAAAGAGGGGAGGGGTTATAGACAGGATTCCTGACAAACTCTGGACATTAAATTGACTTAAAAAGAAAAAGAATCTATTTATCTCCTAAGGGTGTGTAAGAAATCGTATTGCTACAAGTGTAGTTACTTTTCATTTTGTCACTTAAAATAGGAGCCCAAAGAGGTTTAATAATTTTAAGAATAACAGAGCAATGTTTACGTTTGAGCAGTATAAGATGATGATCCAGTTTTTATTTTGGTGATGGATGACTTTCCACAATCTTTTTCAATCTAATTCCATCATATCCATTTTCTTCTAAAATGCGTATGAGAAATTGAATTTTTTTATCAATATATTTTTGTACAGATTTTCCATGCTCTAGCTAAAAATCATTTTAAGAACACCTTTGCTGATTTTAGGATTGATATTCTTGCCTGGTTTTATTTGTGATGCCACCTTCATTATATATATTTAAACTCATAACTGAGGTCTAGATTATTGGTAAGTTTCATATCAAGAAATGGGAGGGATCATTTATCATTTTCTGTTTTAAGTGTAATTTGAATTATTTCATCTTGCGTGTTTAATATATCAATTTTCTTGTGGATGTGGATTTTTTAGACGAAAGTGTGTATCACCAACATGCTACCTTTTGTAATTAATTGGTTGAATATTTAAAAGTAAATCTTCTCTAACAGCTTTTTCTTCAATGTACAGTGCGTGCCAAAAGTAGGCTCACAGTAGAAATGCATTTTACATTTTTAAAAACATTTTATTACATTTATTTGTTACAATCATATTTATTAAAAACTGTTTATGTACATTTGTTTAACACTACTTACATTTTTAGCACAATTTAATCCCTGAAGTGCTCAAAATATCCTCCTTCAATATTGCAACATTCCTCGAGCCTCTCCAGAACACTATGGCACGCAGCATGACACAAATCCCGATCTACATCAATTTCAATAAATACTTCTGAGATGTACTCTTTTAAGTCAACCACTGTATGGGGATTCTCTCATAAACATTGTTTTTTAGTACCCCTCCCTCTCAAAAAAAAAAAAAAAAAAAAAAAAAACAAAGGAAATCCATTGGTATTAGGTCAGGTGAATCTGGTGGCCATTTGATGCTGCCCATTCTTTCGAACCAACTCTGTGGAGAGGTTTGGTTAAGGTAGTCCCTTACTGCCAAAACATAATGGGGAGGTACTCCATCTTTCTAAAAGAACAGTTCGGCGAAGTTAGATCTAAAACGTGAAACAAATAGTGAAACAACTGTAAGATCTATTGAAAATCTACTTCTGAAATTACAACCATAATAGATTCAGCATCTTCAGTAAGCTAATTTTTGATTCCCAATAAAATACTGACTTAAGAATAATTGCATCAATACGTGTGTGTCCTATATCGAGAATTTCATTTCAGTTTAATATAATTAAAGACAGACATGGTTATTTAAGCTGTACGTCAACATTAAAGTTAAGTGAACTTTATGATGAGGAGCTATTCTGGATGTCATTTCAATTTAAGGACTTAACTTGAAAAAAATGAAAATTATAAAATGTTCCCTTTTACCCTACTGGCAGGGCAAAAATTAACAGACAGTGGGCACAATGTAACATGTTGGCGCAAGAAGTGGCTTATTAATTTTAACACCTCTAAAACGAAACTGCTCTCTATTAATCATCTTAAAGAACCTTTTTTTTACTTTCATCTTCATGGCTAATGCTAACCTCCAGGAGAATAACTCTCCTTCTTTGTCTCATATTTTCCACTGACATGAAGTGGAATGATTATATTGAATCAATTGCTAAGTCCGCTGTTAGGAAAATCAATTTACTATGTCGTACTAGACATTTTTTTTTTCCAAAATCTAAGTATTTTGAGATCAGCTACCAATTTGATTTTATCGAACCTATCAGACTTACTTTCAGACAAGAGTAAATAGTTGCGTCATCCCCATAGATACCGAGTCTGGAACGGGTGATATCAGGAAGGTCCTTGATGAAAATAAGAATCAGAGTGGGTCCAAGAATAAAACCGTGGGGGGGATGACCGCATTAATGCAAAGTGGTCTAGAGGGGTAGCCATTCAATATAACTCTCATTACGCGGTTTGATAAGAAAGATTGAATCAAATCAAAGGAACTTAACTTTTCAACTTGTGAAGAAGTCCAGCATGCCAAACTCAGATATCTAAAGCAACAGCTCGAACTTTGCCATTCTTATCTACAGCTTGACCGATTCTTTCAGCAATAACCATCAACACATCAGTGATTGACCTAGAGAAGCGAAAGCCATATTGTTTGTCTGAAAGAAGACACTGCAAGGTGAAATGCCTAAACAATTCGAAGTTGATTAGAGCATCTATTACTTTGCCAAAAAGAAGTAGAAGACTAAAAGGTTGATAGAAGGATCAGACGATTCTCCAGAGTTCTTAAGAACTGGAACCCAGTAAGAGGATTTCCAACAATCCGAAAAGCAAGAAGCATCAAAGCATCTATTGTAGAGCTTGGAGAGAACAGGGCTCCGTTCAGGGACACATTTCTTAAGGATAATTGCAAGGATACTATCAAATATACATCTTCTGTAGGGATCAAATTGGCAGAGTTATATGCATGTAACAGAGTAGAGACTCATTTTAAGTGGAAAGTCAGGCAAAGAGACTCCCGGTGACTCAAGCAAAAGGTCCGCCCCGTTATGAATTATCGGGAACTCAATCTATATGTTGACGCGTACACAGCTAATGCAGATGTTTGCGCGCAAAAATTGAGGGAGTGGCGACAGGAAGGGTCAGACGTCGCTGTGCTGGATTTGCGCCGGGCCTATCTGCAAATTCCTGTGGGCAAATCTTTGTGGCCCTTTCAAATGGTAGAAATCAAAAGACAAAGGTATTGCCTTACTCGTTTGGGGTTTGGGCTCAATGTGGCAACGCTTATCATGTGATCAATCGTCAATGCCATGGTTGCACAAAAGGAAACCATCCAAAGGGTCTCTTCCTCGTACATCGACATATTTGTTAATGAGATTGTGTGCACTGTGGCCCACGTAAGAGCTCACCTGGAACAATTCGGACTGACTAGTAAGAATCCGGAGCTGCTAAACGATGACACCCGCGTGCTGAGTCTGCATGCCTGGGAGGAGCAGGATAAACTGTAGTAGAGACGTGAGAGTGAGTTCTCACCAATTCCTAACATACTCACCCGTCGGAGGATATTTTCCCTGTGTGGGAAATTAACCGGACATCTGCCAGAGTGCAGTTGGCTCCGCGTTGCAACAGCATTCGTGAAACAACGTGCAAATTCTGTAACGTCTGACTGTGATGATGAAACATGGAACTCGCTCTTGGTTCGAATAGTGACTGACTGATCACTAGAATAGTGCAAAGGGATCCAGCGCTAGGAGATTGGTGCGTAAATGAACACGAAATCAGCGTATGGGTTGACGCAAGCTCCTTGGCTACCAGTGTCGCTGTAGAAAGCGGTGGATCTTTAGCTGAGGATGCATGTTGGCTGTGCCCGGTACACGAATACAAGCACATTAACTTAGCGGAACTCTAAGCGATGTTGAGAGGCATCAACGTGGCGTTGCAGTGGAAAGCGACTGTAGTTCAGCTGAATAGAGACAAACTCGGTGTGCGTACATCACTGGGTTTCTGACACGCTGTCTGGAAAAATGAGTGTGGCGTCAGAAATGTTAATAAAACTTCGGCTCGGCACACTCAAGTAACTGGCTGCCGAATATGGGCTAACAATCGACGTGGGGCTCGTCAGATCTCACGTGAACCAAGCCTATCAACTCACCAGGGTATCTCAATGATGGCTAGATGCACTTCGAAAAGAAACGGAGCCAGTGTGCGCTGCCATCCGTAGAACAGTAGGAATCCGCTCGTATAAAAACCATCCATCAACGAAGTGGGCATCCCGACGTGAAGCGCACTTTATATTTTGTAAAACAGGTTAGCCCTGAAGTCTCGAAAGCAGCTGTTCGGGCAGTGGTCAGAGACTGCGAGACGTGCCAGTCCATAGATCCAGCGCCAGTGCATTGGGAAGCTGGAAAGCTAGAGGTGAGTGACAATTAGAGCAGGAGGCCGGCATTATCTGAGCCTGATCGACTGTGGCCCTAGTCGATTTTCCATTTGATGGCCATTACCGTGTCAACACACTACCTGCATCATCCAGCAGTCTCTATTCTGCGAGAGAGGGCCACCTACCTAGCTACTCATCGACAATGGTGCGGCGTTCTGTGAAGAGATGTTCGCGAGGTTTGCAGAGGAGTGGGGCATCCGACTGAGATTCCGGTGTGCCTATATGCTGTCAGGGAATGCTGGTATAAAGAGATACCATCGTGCCATCAAGCGAATTGCCGCTAGAACACAATGTTCCATCAGGGAGGCGTTATGTTGATATAACGTGACGCCAAAAGATGACGCAACAGCCGTGATAGCACCAGCTAACTCTATATACAAATATCAGACCTGCATAAAGGGTGTCGATGTTGCACCACCACTTGAACATATAGATCCCGGAATCTACAGAGTAGGAGATGCGGTCTGAATAAAAGCCTCACATGGTCGATGTACGACGCAATTTAAAAAAGGGAGACTGACAGGCATCTATAGTCCACAATCTGTCCTTGTCAATGGAATACCACGTCACATTAAAGATCTTCATCCTTGTCACGGATCTATTTCCTTAGAAGACGACAGTAGTAATATGTCAACTGAGGGCGATTCAGGTATGCTGCTGCTTTTTAGAGCAGAGTCAGATGATCCGCCTGCAGGACCAGAAGACGAGGATGATGATGCCGAGAACAAGAGAGAACCTGTGGACACAAACGAAGAGGTCGACGAACCCCGTCCAAAGGAGACCACCGTCTCCCTGCCACTTATGTGGTCATGTAATCAGAGAGGAGTGTAGAAGGGAAAACGGCTTACCCTCTGGAACAAAACGCGCTCATACGTGTCTCGCGTGCAAAATGGTGTTTTGTAGGTCCCCTGTGAATATGCGGTATTGTGGTATATCCAGGATTGAGAGGTAATGGACGAGTTCTTGTGGTGAATGATAATTGTGGTAAATTGTAATCATGAATGGGTCATGATTCGGATTAACTAGAATTAGGATAGCTAATGAAAATCAATCTTTCGCCACTTCCCCTTAAGAACAACTCAATCTCAGAGCTCAGAGATTTTGCTAGACTAGCTACAGACGCTGACAAGTCAGGTGTAATATTGTCTGTTATTGGGTAGAAAATAAGGTTTGGTCGTATTTCAGTACGGTATGTATATGGGTATGTAACTGTGTTGCGAATATGGTTTATACATATCTTGGAAATAGTAACCGAATCGATTTCTCTGTTTAATTCCAGTTACTTACCAGTAAGTAAAAGAATAATACTAGTGGAATGATCAGTCATGGTAAAAAATAAGCAAGAAAATAATAATTTGGTAACCTCGCAGATATACGTTTGTATATTCTCGCCATAGGGACAAATTAAAAATAATAATTTATTGACATTTTTCTTTTTTTCCGGTTACTATTTCCAAAACCAAAATTAATTTATTTTGATATTTCGCTCCTTCTTTGACGATGAAGATTAGAATGAAGTTAGTCAGCGTAACGTCTCTTTTTCTCCATTTTAAAGAGTTTTTAAAAATTACGTTGCAACGATTTTCACGTTCTGTACACTCCTCATTACCAATAATAATGGTTGTGTCATCTTTCATTCCTATTTTTTCTCTATACATGAAGGAAAAAACTCCATTATTTTTTTAGAGTCCTATATTCACTATATTCATATCTTCAATATCCCAAGCAAGAGGCAACACACACCTCTAATAGATTCACGTATTTAAAAATCCTTTTCTACACAGATCTTTACTACAAGTATTGCACCGACCACAACAGTCTCGAGAATGTTTTTAGTTGCATCTGAAGATGGTTTATTCAACAGACGCGAAGGAAGAATAAAGCCGCGGAACGTGAAAAATAAAATCGTTGCAACCCAAATAAAATTATAATATATGATGTAATTTATATTATTTACCTAAAACAAGATGTCAAAACTGAAAGATTACTACAGAAATTCTTGAAGACTGTCATACTATGTCATGTGACTTTCAAGTAACCAATCAGAAAGCGCTAACCAAGCCGTATTTGTTTTATTCTGTTTCTTATTACTTTTAAAAGGTAGCGAGCAGCGACCTTTCTCGGACGTGATTGATCGCCCAGTTTCCGATTTCAACTCAATGTAAGTAAAAAATTTTAACTACCTGATTGGGTTATAACCACTTCAGTAATTTTGTTCGTTGTTGATTGAAATGTCCATAAAGTTTTAACTCTCATTACTGGGCAATTGTTTTTTGTTCAGACACTAAAAACTAAAAAGTTTATATCGCTTGTCAGGTCCGTCAGGCTTTTAAAAATGAAAGTGAAATGAAATTGAAATGTCTTTCCTTGTTTGGCTTCTTTTCTTATCTATTGTAGAAAAAAGGCATTAAAGTCATAAATTTTTCAATTTACTCAGACTTTTCTTGTTCATTTATTTTAAGTTAAAATTGATTTCAGTTTCAAAATTCACTTTTTATTTATACTCTCTACAACTTTAACGTTGACAAGCAACAAAAACAAACAGCGCTCTCAACTCTGTATTTCTCCTTGTTTTTTCTCGTAATCTTATATTTTTATTTTCGTGAATTTTCATTTTTCATATGAGGGGTTGATAGAAAATTTTCTGCACGATTCAATTTACCCAAACCAGATGTCAGAATTTTTTAAACACCTTAATCTTGATCTAACCGAGGAATTTTCAGCATCCAACTCGTTTTTAAATACGTGGCGTTAAAAATAAATGTTTGTTTAAATGTTTACATATCTCAATTCAAAGAACTACAACATCGAAGATGTTTGTAGCAAAATGGCTAACTTTTAAAAAAGAAAGTTTTCAGTTTCACTGTCAGTAAAAGAAAAAAAAAATGAGAATAAGCAACATACCAAGAATACTTACTACTACCAATTCACTACCAGCTGAAAACATGAAACGTCATATTATCAACCACCCCTCTTGGATCGAAAAAAAGTCTAGCTCTAACTACAGCAAAAACTTTTTCTCCAGTGTCTTAGAAAATGGAAAGATGACTGTCTGACGACTGATTTATTTGTTTTGTTGTAATTTTTAATTTTATTGTTCATATTTAATTTATTCCTTTCATTCATTTTTTTTTTCTGTGTTTTGCTTTGACATTATTAGTGAGTGACTGACAAGTCGATTATGCCGTTTCGAAAACAAACTAGTTAACTACTTACCTACTGGGTCATCGGGAATCTTACACGCTGTGTTGTTGTTTACCTAATCTGGAGAATGCAACATTGTTTCTACTTAGTATCATCATTGTCTGTTCATCGCAAAAATTTAGTAGTTAGTTACACACATTTTTCCTTTTCGCGTGTTACAATTATTAAAACTATTTTTTTGAATTTTTATTACGCTGCAAGAAGTCTTAATTTAAAATTTAAAAATTATGTTTGCTCTTCCAATTTATCAAAAATAGAAAAATGAATAAATAAATAAATAAATTACAAACTATAAGAATCTATTAAAAAAAGTCTTTCACATCCTTTCATCTTTTTTTTCTCACCTTGCCTGCTGATTGTTTGCAGTCATAGCTAACAAGTTGCGGACACTTCGAAATTTGATATGAACGAAGATCTGTGCATTCTTTTTAACGCATGACGCTCATTACAGCGACGTTTTGAGTTCTATTTTCATTTATGACACGGCTTAAAAATACCGATATTAGTAGCGTTACAAAAAATAAATTAATTAATATTTTCGCCAAAGAATTGTTGTTTTCCGATTCATTATTAATTTCTGTTTTTTTACTCAAGCCAAATGTGAAATTCTCAATTTTGTATAGGTTTTACTTTTAACTTTTTAGAAAGTTGAAACTTTTTTTTTTAACTTTTTTTAACTTTTAACTTAAAAAAATCAGTAATTGTATTCGTTTTTTATTCATTCATAGCATTTACTCACAAATTTATTCATGATAATTATGAGAGGAAGGAATGCTTACACAGGGCCGGCGCGTCTTACACCCGACCTGGGGGGTGTTTGGGGGTAGGGCGTTGTGTTCTCTGCCATTTTTTCAGCAGTTTTATGGCTATATAACTCCATTTTTAAAAAAATATTTTTAAAGTGACTTTACATTGTCAGTCATCAACTAATACAGGGTGTTCCAAAAAAGTCACGTAACAATAGGCAGAAAACATACACTTGTGAAATAGCAACCAGGGAAAATTTGCATGATATAATCTTCCATAATTCGACCAATAAAATTACTTAAGAATATATTGTTACATACAGAAACATGATTCCATTTGGTAAATAAATATAACAAATTCACAAGGTTATCAATGGTAATGCGACTTTTTAGAATAATCCGTACATCGTGTACCTGTATGGCCGGTGCGGTGCGTACTACGCAGGAACCCCTGACTAGGTTAAAGTCCAAAAGGGCTTGTTTCAGCAACGCGTTTTTGCTTTTTGTACCTTTTACTTTTTTCTACCTAAGTTATATTGTCAATTATAATAATCGACAGGACCAGTGCTTACTACCCCGAACCTCTCAACCGTGTGGGGGGCTCCATGCCTACCGAATAGAGGCTAAGTTTTTTGCCTACCATAAATGGCTAAAAATTATGAGACAATTTTAGCTGCTATTTTAAAAAATTATTTTATTCAATTGAATGCAAATTGGAGACATTTTTCGGTTACGGTGGTTCGTAAGTTCGACGTAGTACATTTAGGGACACGACCTTACATAAAAAAGAAAGAAAAAATTATAAGAAAAGATTTTCTCTTTGATCTAACCGCAGACGCTAGACAGTTTCAATTTCAGACAAAAAACGCAATGTCTCATACTCGTTCCTGGAAAAAATGTATATGTATGGGTATATATCTATATAATAAATGCGAAAATGTCTGTGTCACTATTTTTCAATTAAAGGGACACAACTCACTAACTTTTAAATATCTCATCTTCAAATGAGATTTATTCATCGGGGATTGGAATTGAATCCTCAGATTGCAAATTTATCAAAGTGATGAACTGGGCTTCAAAGCGATCTCAGCAATTATAGTCTGCCAAATCCAAACAGAGAAACTAGACAAATCAACAGAGAAATTTTGAGAGAAACAGGATACAACATGGAAGAACTGCGGCATTGTGTTCAAAGCAATGAAACCCTGTTGAATCAAGATCAACAGCAAGTGTATCAAAAGGTCCTTGACGACATCAACAACAACAATGTAGGGGTCTTCTTCTTGGATGCACCTGGAGGTACTGCTAAAACTTTTGTAACTAAGCTTAATTTATCTGCAGTGAAACTCCAAAGAAAAGTAACTTTAGCAGTAGCATCATCTGGAATTGCTGCTACCCTATTGTCTGAAGGGTGTACAGCACACAGCACCTTCAAACTTCCATTGGATTTGAATTACAATGAAACCCCTATTTGCAACATCTAAAGAGGAACCAACTTCGCTAAGCTACTCGAGGAAACAAGCTTCATTCTCTGGGATGAATGTACCATGGCACACAAGCGGCATTTGAGGCTCTGGACAAAATACTCAAAGATATTCGACAGAATTCACAAATCATGTCAGGTATCACTGTGCTACTCTGGTGATTTCAGATAAATATTACCAGTCATTGCAAGATTAACTCCAGCTGATGAAATCAATGCTTTCCTGAAAAATTCTTACATCTGGAGCCATGTTCAAAGACTCAGCCTGAAAACAAACATGAGAATTCGAATCACAGGTAACCTTGAAGCAGGAAGATTTGCTGCTTTGTTGTTGCTGCTTGGCAATGGAACCATCAAAATGAACCAAAATGGAGATATTTTACTCTCAAATGGTTGTGGAGTTTCAGCTTCACATATCCAAGACTTGATTAACCATGTTTATCCAAACATTAAACACCATTTCATGGATTCAAACTGGCTTTGTGAGAGAGCCATATTAGCTCCCAAGAATAAAACTGTGGATAGCATCATCTGGAAACTTCTCCAAGAAATTCCAAAAGAAATCATGAAGTACTTTTCCGTTGACACTGTGGTTGAACAAGAGCGGGCAAAAGAGTTCCTGAATTCATTGAATCCTCCTGTAATGCCATCACACAAGTTGAAACTAAAAGAAAATATGTCAGTTATGCTATTGAGAAATCTGAATCCTCTAAAGCTTTGTAATAGAACAAGGTTAATTTTCAAAAAAATGCCTCCTCAACTCTTGGAAGCAGAGATCCTTACTGGTCCAGGAAAGGAGGGAAACGTTTTAATTCCAAGAATATCCTTAATTCCACCAGATCTTTCTTTTGGGTTCAAAAGACTCAGTTCCCAGTGAATGTGATCTATGCAGTGTCAATTAATAAGTCCCAAGGACAATTATTGAATGTAACTGGACTTCATCTGATGGAACCCTGCTTTTCTCACGACCAGCTCTATGTTGGTTGTTCAAGGGTTGGGAATGGAAACGAGCTATTTGTACTGACCATGAATGAGAAAACCAAAAATGTTGTTTATCATGCAGCTTCGCAATAGGTTTCAAATAGACAAGTTATATCACTGTTTTGATGAAAACTATTAATTGTTTGAAAAATATTTTCAAAGTTTAATAAAATTTAATATGTACTCAATGCATGGATTGTCATTGTTGTATCGAAGGCCCAATCAAGAGCCCTCCGCAGGAGTTAGCTTAAATGCCACCCAACAGGGCTGCTTTTTTATAGCTAGTATATATATATATATATATATATATATATATATATATATATATATATCACAAAGATGCCTGAAAAAATTATTCAGTTAGCGAACGTAATGGAGAAGGTTAACAAGCTTCAAGTCGAATTCCCTACAATACAAGACATTTATTGTTGCGCCTAAATAATTATTCATTACGGAACCCGGAACCTGTTCATTAATAAGAATTTTATTCTATCATGCAAAGAACTTAACTATTTTTCTATAAACTTTAGATGAAAAATAAAGTTAAGATTAAATTTTAGCAGTGATACAAGTTATTGTTACCATGAGAAATATTCAATCTTATTTTATAGGTATGAGATGATATAAAAATGGATCTCAGGAACGAAAAGAGAAAGAGCAATCACAGAAAGAGGAGACACGGGCACCTACTGTAGAAGAAACCGTAAATGAGAAAGAAACACCTGTCGGAGTTAACTCCTCTTAATT